GAAGAAGTGGTTCAAGAAGAAGAAGACCCTAATAACACTACATCACAAACCATAAAAGACAAGGAAAGTGGAGGTGCTCCTGCGGAACCTGGGACACCGTCCAAAGAACAAATTAAGGTAACTTCACCGGAACAAGTTGATGCAGAAGATCTTCATGTACCTAAAGGTGACTCAAGTAAACCTGGTGGAAGTGAAGTACCTTCTCCATCTGGTGAGGCACCTAGTGGTCCGACTGCAATTGACGGTCAAGGTGAAAACAGCGACAAGGCGACAGGTGGAATCCCACCAAACGTGGAGAGTGGAGGAGAACAGCCTTCTTCTACCAGAACAGATACGGAGAGTGCTACTGGTGCTGTCACTTCAACCGCGAATGGCGCCACAACTGCAGCGAGTGAGTCAGCGAAGGAACCTGACAGTACAGCCAGTGATGAGGAATCACCTACCACAGATACCACCATCACAACAACACTTCCTCCTGAACTCACAAACAACAAGAAGGGTGATGCAGACAGCAGCAGCAGTATCAGCAGTTCTGTGTGGATGCGTGTACCACTACTGATTGTGGTTACACTGACCTGTATTCTTGTATGCTGATTGTGCTAATGGTGGTGGTGTTGTGACTCAGGTCATCCTTTGTTTTCTTTTTCTTTTTTGCATGTATCCCTACAGTCTAACTTATCTTCCACCTTTTGGGATTATCTCTTCTTCCTTTGTTTCTTAATGTTAACGTGTTTTGTGTGTTTTTTGCTCTCTGTGTTTATCCTATAATTATTATTATTGCTACTCCATTGTGTGTGTGTGACTGGGCTTGCACTGTGATAATGATGATGAAATGCTTTTTGCAGTAGGAAAAAGGGAAAGAAATAATAATAATAACGGATGAATTTATATTTATAATTGCGTATATATACACATATAGACTTACACCCATAATTGATGTATTTCTGTGTTTACTGGGTAAATTGGGCTCAATTGTTTAATTGTTTTTTAATGGTTTTGCTGGTTCTTGTTTGTGTGGTGCCCATTTGTTGGACTTTTTATTGTTTATACTTTTTTTCTTGATTTGTGTGAGGGAATCTTTTGTGGTGTTATCCTCCTCTGTCTATGTATGTATGTGTCTGTTTATTTTGTTTTTATGTTGTTTCTTTTTTTCTTTATTGTTTGTTTTAGATACGTAAAGTAAGAAGAAAAACTCTTACCGAAAGGATGTTGCATCGTGTATTTTGTTTGCTGACTTTGCTGCTGAGTGTTGTT